ATATCATGCAAAATATATTTAATATATTGGTATGCAGAGGACCATTTATATGATGGTCAGACCTAATATACAGAGCATTATCTAATATGAATCTTGACGATGATAATGATTATGAAGAAGAAAAACAACCCACTAGTGAAGAAATACAAGATGATGAGTTCTCAGAAGAAGGCTTAGAATTGAGGAATTATTGAATATTGATGTAGCTGTTTTTATGAATAGTTTAGATGAAATTGTTTTTAATGCTAACTTTGAATTTTCTGAAGAGGAAGATATTAATATTCAAAATAATGATGTCGAGAGCAATGTTGATAAGAGAAATTGAGATCCCGAAGAAGAGGCTGAATCAATATTAGATTAGTCAATATACAATAGTATACCCCAATAAATATTGTTCAATAAACATAAATTTTTTTGATTCTTTGATTTAAAATTAGTTAGTAATAATAAGAAAAATTCTATTCTAAAAGATTATTAAAATCTAAAGTTTAGAAATCATTATGATCAATAAAATAGAATTGTTTAAAGCGCCTAGTATATCTTTAACTAACCAACTATAAAATTTTGACAGACCGTTGAACAAACAAAAAAAGAGGCATCATATATTAGCAACCAGAAATGGATTAGTCCCTAAACGACTAATCTCACGGTTATTTAACTTCTGGTCTTGAAACTGGTCAGGACTGGGTTTAAAACAAATTAATTTGATAAGGTTTTGATTTTGCCACATAGATTCAATAAATATATAATTTATGATCAGGTGACTAATATAATATTGTGACATTAGTACTGTATATACATTTCTGGTTGAATAATTTAAAAACTTAGAAGGCTTATCAATTCGAAGAATTGCTAAACACTTAGATGTAGCAAACTTCTATAAGTTGGGTTAAACATTGAAAAAAATATGGTTTACTTTTAATAGTCAACCAAATAATTAGATTTTTAAATAACTAGGGCCTTTTTGAAACTCAAACTAAACCAGAAAACATCAAAGACCAATTTTATTAAAGGCTAGAACAGATTGTATTACCATAGAGTGCTAACTGATATATCTGGATATTTATAATAATAAAGACTTGAGATATATCCAGTATACATTTTTTATTTAACTTCACTAGTCTTCAAGGTTTTATATTAATTGAATATTTCTAAAGCATAAAAGATATTATTCTTTGAGCCATAGTATAGTATCTTTAATTCTGGGTAAAAATCATAAAATCACACTAAAAAAAAGGTATATATTTATTTATATCAGATTTATATTGAAATATCAGAAATATAGGATCTTATCAGATTTATATTAGATTTTCATCTTGAATTCGAAATTTGGAATTTTTATTTCGGACCACAGTGTTAAATCTGAAATATTTCAAAATTAAAAAACAATTTCACCTGAAACATTACATTAGGCACACCTGATTACTCTGATTTTGATATTATTCTACTTAATAATAAAATTTCATTGTAGCAAGCTGATATCAAACAAAACATATATCCAGTACAATCTTCAAGGCAAAGATCTGATTCAAAATAATTCTATTGTTATAAGGTAATTTTTGTTTATCATCATTATTTGTTTATCTTTTTTATTTCTTACTAATTGAACTTTTTTTTTTAGTGATGATTTAATGCATTCAACACCTAACACTAAAAAAACTCATAACTGCTATTATTGCAAAAAGACAAATTGCAATACCAAGGCTTGTACTTATAGAAAAACAATATGTTATGTTCAAGACGGTGTGGGTGTGTTTTGCATGACCAATGCAACAATCAATAAATAATTTCTTTCTAATAAAAAGACAAATTAGCTTTCTTTTATTATATTTATATATTTATCATTTATAGTTAACAGCTAGTATTGATCATTCATTTTTGTAAAAAGAAAGCATTTAACAATTTATATATATTGCAATTAGCTTTTAATATATGTTGTCTATTAGTATGCAATTTTTTAATTATATATCGTATGTATGAAATTAGTTAATGAGTAAAATTTATACTGATTCCAAAATGATATAGGTTATTCATTGACTTTCAAATGACACATATTGATCCTGGATTAACAGAAATCAATAATCGACACACAACATATACATGTTCTATAATTCTATAATTCTACAATAATTTCACATGTCTGACTTCCATCCAATCATAACCCAGAATTTGTTCACAAACCATTTTAGTTGTCGGTTAACCATACACTCCATAATTTCATTGCTATGTTCCTGGTATAATTTAATTTGTGATTCAATCTGGATTGGAAACTGTCTCTACTGTTCCAATATCTAATTATTGCCATTTCGTAGCAAAAATATCAAGGCAAAAAAATTCACATAATCATAAAATGATCAATAATTTATAATAGTAATAAGTTATTGTTAATATGGTTATTTAAAGCTTATAAAATTTATTACCTCTACTTAATTTTGACCGGTCTACTTTGCCATATAAGTTTATGCGGTGTAATGGTCTTTCTGCATTGGATAATGTAGTGCAAGGTATGTTTACTATGTATGGTTGGTAGCTTGACTTTTTATGTTAGTTCGTATCATCATGCATATGATCGTCAAACCAATTTCCTTGCAATACCTAGAAAAGGAAATTTGCATTTTTCATTTTTTAAATACTAGATACAAGTACTTGTACATGAACTTGTACATATACATGTACAAGTACTTGTACATGTACATGTACAAGTACTTGTACATGTACTTCTATACGAAAAACAAATATACGATTCTTATTAGAGGATAAGATGTTAAAAAAAAAATAAATAAATAAATAAAAAATTTAACAAAATCAAAAGTATACTCAACTTATGCTAGAATATATTATTCCATCGCTTTTTATGACCTCTTTGCACTATAATTTTATGTCACTTTGAGAGTTATTTTTGTTTTTTGTTTTCTTTTCGTCGAATTTCTTGCCGGTATGATGAATTGATAATCAATGATCGTCGAAGGCTGTAGCGAAAGAATTTGAAGATCATATCCTAATTTAAATTATATCTTTATCGTGACTAACTCTATGATCATTTCTAAATTAATATCCATGTGACTATAAATCTTGATTAAAACCTGGATTTACAATGTGATGAGATCGATATATTTAAAATTTAAAACAATGCCGAGCGAAGCAAAGCAGAACATAATAAATTTAAAACTGAGCTTGAATTGAGGCTGAAAGTTATTGCATTGGTTATTTTCAAAACTAGCTTTATATATTTGTGTTCCCGTATATAAAGTTCTAGTATCTATGTTTAAATTGCATTTACATTATTAAAATTTTAAGTTAGCAATTAATGATTGTTGAAATATGGTAAAAAAATGTAGAGTTTAAAACCTGCCGAGCGAAGTGAGGCAAAACATAAAAAATTTAAGCTCGAGCAAAGCCAAGAACTATGAAAAAGAACAAATAGAACACCACCTTAATATATATTTTTTGATTTCACGATTAACCATGTATTATCAAATTGTCAGTGTCTGTTAATACCATATACTGTTATATCTAATTATTAGTTGGCGGCGAAGCCGCCACATGATCATGTACTAGTTTCAGTAATATACAATAATTTATTACTGAAATTATCAAAATGCCGATCATGATTTTTTTAGCGTCCAAATTTTTACTTACTGATTTTCCCTCTCGCGCACTCATATAAGAAACCGAAAAATGAAATTAATTACAAATAAAGAAGTAAAAATAATTATATATAAGGGCCTAAATTTGGAAAAATTTTACAATTAAGGGCCAAGATAACTTTGCATTATTGTGATAATGGTTCTTTGAATGTTATCACTATACCGGATGTTTGATAAGTTCCTAGACAGGACCTTTTTATTGATCACTTTAATTATCAAAACTATTACGTTTTTTATTAGTAGAAACTTGTAAAGTGATTAACAAAAAGGTCCTGTCCAGGGACTTATCAAACACCTGGTATATGTATGACTACAATTCAACTAAGTTAATACTTATCAATCTTGTAATGTTTATTCGCTTCTAAACTAACATATCTATCCTATACAAATCATATTTTGTGAAGGTTACTATGCGTTAATCGAAGATATTTAGGTCTACAAAAACTCACCGGGATTTGTAGAGAAATTTTATAATTTTTACCTGCAAAACGTTAAGAGAATAAATGCAATACTAATTAAAAGGTAATATGTACGTTTGACTGTCAAAAAAAAAAAATGTTAAAACTTTCAATCTAATTAGTTACGATAAATTTGGTCCCTTGATTGTAATATTTTTCAAAATTTGGACTTCATATCGAATTATTTCAACTTTGGGCCCTTATTTATAATTATTTTAATTTTTAGACCCTAAAATGTAATTTCCCCTATTTTTTATGCTCGATATTGATACACATTACAAGAGTTCATTATATTAATTCCATATACAGTTGAAAAGCATAGATTGTATAAATTATCATTATGCTGTGTATAATTAATACGTACGTACCTCCCAGAATGATGATCATTGTTGTTGATTAACCGGAAATTCCATATTAATATGTAACACTTAAGGTCCAAATTTATATGCGATCTTTATTTATTGTTATCATTATTAACGCCCTTATCGTTATGCAGCGATCTCAAACTTGTGAAATGCATTTTTTCTAAATATGCATATCCCACCTGGATTAACTATTTATAGTGAAAAAAAAATCTCTAGAAAAAGGAATTTGCTGCATTACAAACTTGAAATCGTTGTACGTATATAGTCTATACTTGAGTTGCTGGTGAAATTAAATTGTGCTGGTGAAACTGGTGACTATCTAAAATTTGATTGGCTATTAAGTGCAATAGTCAATCAGATTTTAGATAGTCACCAGTTTCTTGTGAGACAGTAAAAAATTCATAATTGTATAAAATTTTTTATTTTCATATAAAAATTATGTATTTCATTATAGTATATTATACCTGTTTTTGTTATTTTTCTCTTTTTCTTTATTTTCAATTCAGATTTTTGCCATCCTGATAAATTGATAATCATAAAAGTTAAAACATTTTGCAATACTTTATATTTACTAAGACAATTATTTATTGTCTACTTTTTTTACTAACAGTCTCAATTTGTGAAAGATGATTTTATTAAATTTGTATTTATTACTTAGATTAGCTAATTTTATCTTGCAATAACACCATCTAAGTCATATGTAACTTGGTTATATATTAGGTTATTTAATATTCTTATTTTAACTTTAAAATTCTTTTATTTATTATTATTATTATTATTAGAGAATTGTTATTTTCATCATGGATTACACAAAAGATATAAAAAATTCTATTTTTAATGATCAATCAAATTTAA